CTCTAACAGCTCCCTGAACTCCCCTTGAAACTCTGTGCCTTGATCGGTGAGCACCTCTGCACACGCCCCAAATCTGCATATTACTTGCTCCTTGAATGCTGCTGCCACATGTCTTGAGCTCTTGCTGGGGATAGCCCTCACCTCCAGCCACTTGCTCACGTGCTCCACCATGAGCACTATGTACCGTTTCCCCCCCCGGCTCAGCGGCAGTTCCCCCGCCAGGTCCAAGGACCATCTGAAGCCTAACCCGCGGATGGGCAGGGACTGCAGCTCGGCCTTGGCTTGGGTCAGGTTTGCTCGGCTCCTTTGGCAGGCCTCACATCCCTCCACCCACTTCTGCACCTGCCTGCGCATTCCCTCCCACCACCAGCCCGTCTTCAACAACTGCAGTGTCCTCTCATGCCCGAAGTGCCCCAGCTTTGAGTGCACCTCCTTTATCACTGCTTCCCTGTCACCTGGGGCCGGCACCAGCTTCCACCCACCCTCGGTCTGTATCTGCAACTGCTGCTGGTACCACCTGTAGTGGTGCCCCCTTGCTCTCACCCTCTCGCTCATCTCCTCGTCTGCCCCTGTCTCTCCCTTCACCCATCTCACAGCCTGCTCATCCTCCCAGATATCAGCCGGCCCCTTGCTCCTCCTTGCCCCGCTCAGCTCCACCTGTCTGGCCAGCAGTGCAAGGGTCACTGTTGGCTCTAGCGGTGGGGGGTTACGGGAGAGGCCGTCCACATGCTGCAAGGTTTTTCCTGGCCTGTGCTTGATTTTGAAGTCATACTCCTGCAGCTTCATTGCCCATCGTGCATTCCTGCCTGTTAACCCTGGTGTAGTCATCAGCCATGTCAGTGGCTGGTGGTCCGTCACCAGGGTGAACTCCCGCCCCTACAAGTAGACCCTGAAGTGCCCCACAGCCCATACTGCCGCCAGTCCCTCCCCTGTGTACGAGCTGTACTGTGCCTCCGCCGAGTTGCAGCTCCTACTCGCGTAGGCCACCACCTTCTCATCCCCTTCCACCTCCTGGCAGAGTATCCCGCCCATCCCTTGGCTGCTCCAGTCGGTGTAGAGGGTGAAGGGTTGGTCCGCTGCTGGCAGCTGCAAGACGGTTGCTGTTTTCACCGCCGCCATCAGGTCCTGCAATGCCCCCTTCTGCGCTTCCCCCCACTCCCATGTCTTGTCCTCCCTTAACAGTCCGTTCAACACCGCTGCCCGCCTGCTGAAGTTGGGCACAAATCGCCGGTAGTAACTCAGAAACCCCAACACCGCTCTCAGCCCTGTCTTGTCCTTTGGTTCTCGCAGCCTATCCAGCACCTCCACCTTTGCTTGCTGGATCCCGATCTGCCCCCCTGTCACCTCGTAGCCCAGATACTGAACGGTCTGCTCACCCCACCTACACTTCTTCGGGTGACACGTGAGTCCCGCTGCTTCTATTGCTGCCAGTGTCTTCTCCACATCCTGCAGGTGCTGCTGTTCGGAGGTGCTGAAGATCACCACGTCATCTATGTAGCACGCTGCACATTCTACGTCCCTCAGCACTGCATCCATGACTCTCTGAAACACTGCTGATGCATTCCTCAGCCCGAATGGCATGTAAAGCCACTCGTACAGCCCATCCGGCCCGTGAAATGCCGTCTTCCTAACGTCCTCCTCCCTGATTTTTATCTGATTGAACCCCTGCCGCAGGTCCAGCGTCGTGAAGAACACCCCCTCTGCTAACTTGTCAAATATCTCCTCCGCCATCGGCATTGGGTACCTGTCCGCCACGGTAATCTTGTTGAGCGCTCGGTAATCTCCGCACATCCTCCTGCTCAGGATCTCCCCTGTTAAGTCCTTCCTCGCTGCCACCACTGTTGGTGTGGCGTATTCTGATTCTGAGCGCCGGATCAGTCCGGCCGCTAGCAGCTCCTTAATCTTCTCCTTGCATATCTCTTCATCTCCGTGCGGCATCTTCCTACGCCGTTGGAACACCGGCTCTGTGCTGCTCAGTTTCAGCTCCATCTCCTTCATTTTGCACCTTCCCAGTTCTTGCAGTGTGAAGGCAAAGCACTTCCTATGCTTGGCCAGCAGTCCCAGCATAGCTTCCCTTCCCTCTTCACTCATCGCTTCCCCCACTGTCCACTTCCCTCCCTCCTCCTCCTGGCAGGTCCATGCTCCTTGTGGGGCTGCTGCTGCCGCCACCTTATCTGCCTCTTGCCCCCCACCCAAGACCATCTCTCGCCACATCCTCTGCACCAGCCACCTCATCATGTAGCCATCCATGGCATTCCCCATTGCCCTCCTCCTGTCTTCCTCGCTCACCCCTGGTGCTGCCGTCACGTTTTCTCCATATCCCATAGCCAGCTCCCTCTCTAATGCCGTCGGTTCCTCCCACGGTCCCCGCTTGTGGTCATATATCAGCCCGGGTCCGGGCTCCCCCTTTTCCCACCTGTAGCCTGCTGCCTCTGCAAAAGCGACCAAGGTGGGCAGAGCCCTCCTGTCCTGCCCCACCTGGTTGCACGGGTAGTGCCTGCTGTAACTTCTTTGACAAACTGGCGCGGGAGTCCGTCCCGGCTCCAGGATGTCCACCACCCTCCTCCCTGCAGCCCTCCTCATCCCCTCTGCTTCCTCCTGCAGATCCAGCACGGGAACCACGTTTTGCCAGTACATCCTGAGGCGGTGAGCGTACGACCCTGCCCTGGCTGCATCACAGCTAATCCCTTTTCCCACGTGCCGGCCAATCCTCTCCCTCACCAGCCGAATCGGCTCTCTACAATCCCCTTCTAGATCCAGATTCTCTAGCAAGTAGGCCACTCTGCCCTGCCTCTCCTGCAACCACTCCAGGATATTGAACAGGTTGTCCATCAGCTTCGTCCTCGGGTCCTCCCCTCCCTTCCCTTTTCCTGCCCATGACACCCCTTGACACTCCCATCCCGCCACCAGCAGGTCCACCTGCCCCCAGCTGGCCACCTGCTCCTCTGTGATCTGACTCACATCGTGCACCGTACTGCTCATGGCTTCCTGAATTACTTTCTCACTCAGGAGGTCCGGGAACTCAGCTCTCAGCTTCCGCGCGTGATGCCCAGCCATCCTTCTCACCTGTGGTGCCAGTTCCACATAGACCCACTGCTGCACTGCAATCCCACTCCTCACTGCTGCCGCCAGCCCTGCCCCGATTCCTCCGAACAACTCTACTAGCCGGATGGGCTGCTGCCAATCGCTATGCTGCCCCGGCTTGTCCATCAGTTTCATCCTGGGCTCCTCCTTGGTCTCTGCTGCTCCTCTTTGCCCCCTTTGTGCCCCTCCTGCTCCGACCTGATAGGCCCGCTTCGGCTCCACCCTTACAAACTGCACTGGCAGCTGCCCCAATGGTCCCTCCTTCTTCCAGTATCTCGTTCGGAACTCCACCTTCTCCATCCAGGTACATATGCTCATGCCTACAGCGAACACCAATTCCGTCCCCATCAGTAGATCAAAGTCCTCGGACTCCGAGATTCCACACTTCATCCTGATCCTTGTCTCATGCTCCCCTCCTGGCAGCAGTGTCAACTCTATGGGGGTCCGTGTGCACGGCATCCACTTTGGTTCCCCTCCCTCTGCTGTCATGACTAACATCCCCTTCGCCACGTGCCTCTCAGGGGCCATCAGCCCCAACCGTTCGGCCATCCCCTTACCCAGCATCACGCTCTGTGCTCCTGTGTCAATGATCGCCGTCTTTACCTTCATCCCCCCCACTTCCACCGCTCCTGCTTCCACGAGCAGCACCGAGGTCTGGCACGCGAGTCTTTCCTGCGGGTGGCGGGCTGGGGTCTTCTCTCCTCCTGGCGCGTCCGGCCTGGACCCCTGCTCACGTGGCTTTCGGCTATGCTCCTGCCTGCCATCCTTCCCCCCGCTACGCAGCCCCATCTGTTCCCTGCCTCTCCAGGCCATGAGGGCACACTGCACGTCCGGCTCCACCCCTTCTCCCTCCTCGTCCCTAGCGTACATCCCCGCCCCCGCTCCCCACCCTGACCCCATGGCCTGCAGTTGAGACTGCAGCCTGCTGATCTGCCGCTGCAGCTCCTCTGGTTTCCTCCTTGCCCCTCCCTCCCGCTGGTAACATTCCTTGGCCTCGTGCCCCTTCTTCCCGCAGATTTCACACTTCGCCGCATCCGGACATTCTCGTTTCCGGTGCCCAGGCTTCCCACATCCATCACAGTTTTTGCACTCTCTGCGGAGGTGCCCCATCTGTCCACACCGGTAGCAGGTGCGCGCGTCGGCTCTCTCTTCCCCGTGTGGGTCCACCCTCCCTCGCTCCTCTGGTATCATAGCCGCCGCCCATGTCGGTCTGCGGCTCCTCTCTGTCGGCCTCGGCAGGTAGGCCTCATACCTCCTTTGTGCCAGCTCCACCCTTTCCGCCAGGTCAAACACCTCCTCTAGTGCCGCATCCGCCCCCAACTCGTACACCCTCATCCTCAGTCCCCCCCCCATTGTTTCGTCCAGGCCTCCAAGAAACTTACTGATGAGGAGGCTGCTGTCCGAACATTTCACATCCTCCGCCAAGTTTATCAGTCGGTTGTAGTAGGTCAGTAGGGATTCTGTTCGTCCCCTCCTGAACTCCTGAAACTCCCTTATGCGCTCCGCCGTGTGTCCCGGGAATTGACGCTGAAGCCGCTCCAGAAATGCCTCGGTGGGATCCTCCCCGTACCTCCCTGCCCTCCACAGCAGCTCGTCCATCCTCATGCGGTACAGGGTCTCCGCCTCTCCCTCCAGTGTGTTGGGCAGGCTCAAGAAGAAGTCTACTGGGTCCATGCCTTGCCTGTCACAGCGGTATCTCACGTTCCCCACCTGCATCAAGTAATTCTTGAGGGCCGGCCCCACCCGTTGGTCCCCCGAGAACCTCGCCGGCACTTCCACCCGCGTCGCGCTGGCTGTACTTCCCCGCCCTTCTCCCCACGATTCTCTGGCCCCTCCCAGCCGCTCTTCCCCAGTCCTTCTCTCCTTGGCCCTCTCCATGCCTTCCCTGGCCTCTCGGGCCCGCTCAGCGCCATATGCTAAGCTCCCCCCTCCAGCTCTGCTCTCCCGCCGGTTCCAGCCCGAGTCACCGTGCCTTTCTCTCGGGCCCCTCTCCTCCCCCGCACGCCCTCGCGTTCGTGCCGGCGAGACTCGTGTCTCTCTCCACCTCGCCGTGCTCGTCTCTCGCTGCCGCTGCCTCTCTGGCGACGGTTCCCATGCTTCTCCCCTTGCTGCCGACGATCTCCGGGCGAGCGCCTGTCTCCGCCGCCTTCTCTTCCCCGCTGCTGCCGGACGAGAGGCGAGCGGAATCCGCCGCTCACCCTCCTCTCCCATTGCGCTTGCAGGCCAGACGTCCGTGCCTCCCCGCCGCGCCCCTCTTGCCGCTGGCCGCGCCTCTCTGATGAGCTGGGCCCCTCCTCGCGTCCTTCTTCCCGCCGCCAGTGGTGGCTAACTGCGCGTGGCTCGCCCTCCCATCCTCCCTTGTGCATCAGCTGCCTGTCCGGCGATCGTGCGCCGTCTTCGCCCCAGCCCCCTTGTGCCTGGCGCCAGTCGAGTGCGCGAGGGTTAACAGAAGGCCGCTCCCAGCGCCGCGATCCTTCCCCTGACGCGCGCGGTCCCTCTTCCTCCCTTTTGCCGCGTTCTCCTTGCGTCCCCACAGCGCCGGCATGCACGCCCCAGTCCCGCCGCTCCTGCTGACGCGACCTCTCCGCGTAATGCTCCTCCTGGCGGCTTGCGTCGCGGCCGCGTGATTCCGACCGTCCCGACCGCGATCCTTCCGCCCCTGCCTGGCTTGCGCCCCCGGCAACGTCCGCCTCTTCAGGCTCGGCGCTTCCGATCCCAGCCGCGGGTTCCTCGCCGTCATCTTCTCCGTTGGCGTCTTCGACCGCCAGTTCCAGGTTCGCTGCGTCCTCCTCTGCCTCTTCCTCGCCGGACGTCTCCCACGCTTCTTTCTTTTCTGCGGCCTCCCCTCCTTGGTCGGCGTCGAATCGCTCGACGCCCTGCCGACGGCCCCTCTCATCACGGCGGCGCCCGCGCTCTTCCGGCGAGCGGAACACTCCCACAGCGCGTCGGTCTCCGCTCCCGTATCCATCTCCGCGATCATGCCCTCTTAGCCACACGTCTCCGTCCGTGCTTGCGGCGTATCCTTCTCCACCCGCTGCCACGCTAGGCCTCCCTTCCGCCCGTCGGTCCCCTGCGACGGGGACTCTATCTGCGCGAAATGCCGGCCTTCGCGGCGAGCGCTCCAGAGATCGCCCGCGCTCGCGTGACGGCTCATCTCGTGCTCGTTCCTCCTCCCGGCGACTAAACACCCTACCCCAACGTAGCTCATATTTATCCATGACTGCGTGTCGCGTCCTATTGTTCAGTATGAACGGGATCACTCCCTCACCCCACCGGTTCCTTCTTAGTGCTGTGCCACCGCGTGTAGTAGCTAGGATAACAGCCCTGCACTAGTATGAAAGAATACTGAACAATAGGCATCGAGTGAGTGGGCGTGGGTGACCTTACCCAACCTCGGTTTGCACATTTCCAATGTGCGGCTCGAGGTTGGGATTTGTTCGAATCCCACATTTCGCCCTTCGGTGCTTTTCCCCCTTCATCCCAACCGCTCCCACATGTTTCCCCCTTTTTGCACCCCTTTGCAACCGACACTTCGCTACTGGCTACACCTCCTACAATACTTCTTATCTATCTACCTCAATGCATTCTTAGCTATTTGCTATACTACTTTACAGCACCGCACTCTACTGTTATTGCATATGCATCCCTTGCATATGCGGTGACACTGCTGCAGGAGTGGAACGAATTACGGTCGAGGCCGCGTGGCGACGCAAGAAACAGCAGGGACAGCACCAGGACCCCCAGCAGGAGTACCCGATCCACCAGCACCTCCAGCAGCACCTCCAGCAGATCCAGAACCCCCAACAGCACCTCCAGCAGCTCCAAAACCTCCAGCAGCACCAGGAGCACCGCGTGCAGGACCGCCAGTGGTAGTCTCAGCGCCAACACCCTCAGCAGCACCAGCTCCAGTCGAACCTGCAGGCCCAGCAGCTCCAGTACTCCTAGGACGGGCACCTCCGGGATCCGCGACAGCAGCACCTTCAATAGCCGACGAACCTCCAGCACCAGCAGCACGGCTCCAGCGCCGGGCAAACCACTCGCGCAGCTCCTGTGGAGAGAGTGGCTCCCGGCGAGACGAAGCACCCGGAGAACCTCCAGGCGGAGCACCTCCTGGCTCAGCACCCCCAGACCCAGCACCCCCAGGCAAGGCACCTCCAGGCGTAGCACCCCCAGGCTCAGCACCCCTAGGCTCAGTACCCCCAAGCCCAGCACCCCCAAGCTCAGCACCCCCAAGCTCAGCACCCCCAGGCTCAGCACCCCCAGGCTCAGCACCCCCAGGCTTAGCACCCCCAGTCTCAGCACCCCTAGGCTCAACACCCTCAGCAGCACCAGAGTCACCAGTGACCTCGACAGGCTCGAATGCGTCTACCTGGGACACACCTGAAGGGGCAGGACCCTGAGGGGGGAGGGGGTCTACCGGGGGGGGACCTGGTACAAGGAAGAGCGAAGGCGGGGGGAGGGACGGAGTGCGGTAGGGGAAGAGGAGGTAGTAGGGTACCAACTCGTCGAACGTGACGTCCTGGGAGGACAGAACACGGCGAGAGGTGGGGTGGTAGAACTGCCACCCAGGGGCGTCGGGGGGGAACCCCAGGAAGACGCAAGGAGCAGCGCGAGGGGACAGCTTGTCCGCAGACAAGTCGCAGACAAACACCCGAGATCCCCAGACCCGGAACGCCGACGCATCGCCAACCTTCCCCGTCCACAGCAGGGCTGGGGAGGTCTCCGGCCTGGAGACCCTGGGGTGAAGGTTGATCTGATGCGCCGCGTACCTGACCGCAAACGGCCACAGAAAATGGGGGGCAGCCGCATGCATCATAGACGTACGAGCGACGTCCATGACCATGCCAACGCGGCGCTCTGCAATCCCATTTTGCTGCGGTGAGTCCGGAAGCGTGAAGGTCTGACGGATGCCTCGCGCACGACAGTAGGCACGCAAAAGGCCAGAGGAGAACTCTCCGCCTCTGTCCGAGTGCAGACGCAGAACAGGAAAGTCCGAGCCAAAGCTCTGCCTGAGCTGGAGACGAGCTGCGCGGATCCAGTCGATCAGCACCTCAGTGACATCACCCTTGCTGCGCAAGGGGAAGACTGTGGTGTAACGCGAGTAGTCGTCAACCACCAACAGGAAGTAGCACTCGTGACCTAGTCCACGGACGCGGGCAGGGCCCCACACGTCCATGTGAAGCGTCTGCAACGGGGCCTCTGTCGGAGGAAACTGGGAGGAGTGAGGGGCAGCACGCTGGCGCCCCTCGACACAGGGGACACAGGCAGGGCCAGGGCCCTGAGGAAGGGGAGGGAGGGACCGGGGGAGACCAGACACGAGAAGACGGGTTGCCATGCCTTTGAGCCTGAAGCAGAGAGGGGTGACCAAGGCGGTGGTGCCAGAGGAGAGTCTCGTGAGACAGGCGACGACACGAACAAGGGGCAGACTCAGGACCAGACCTGGACACTGCAGCAAACACCTGACTAGACGCAGGGACCCTACCAGACTCAGCAACTAGAGGAGAAGCAGTGGTCAGTGTGTACAGGCTCGACCCTGGCTGACGTGTAAACGTAGCCAGGTGACGACCGTGTGCTAGCCTCTGTGCAGTGCGTCACCCGCTGACGAGCAGGAGTGAACTGGTGGACACCCGCATCCTGTAGGTCAGCACCACTCACCAGGTTCGTAGAGAACGAGGGGAGGTAGAGACCAGACAGGGTGCCAGAGGGAGCCGCCGGACACGGGAGGACTGTGGAGAAGCGAGACAGGACAGGACCCCCAGAGGGGTCAGCTAGGGACACCGCAACCGGCCGACTAAGCGGCGTGAGTGTGGTGCGGTCCCGAAAGAAGGAGCGAGACGCCCCAGAGTCAAGGGTGAAGGTGTGGGAGGCCGAAGCCGACGTAGTACCTGAGAGCGCAGACTCACTAGTACCTGAGAGCGCAGACTCACCAGTACCTGAGAGCACAGACGCACTGGCACCTAGAGCAGTAGCCTCACTGGCACCTAGAGCAGCAGTACCAATGCCCGGGTCGGGCGGGAAACACCGGTAACAGTCACCCTCATCACTAATAGTCACAGCATACATGGCAGCAAGGATAGCATCAAAGTCAAGATCAAAGATAGCTACACCAGCCCTAGACAGCTCTCCCCAGCGGGGGATCTAAGTGGCCTCCGGGAACTGCTGGCGCCAAGCGTCCGTCAGGCGGCCAAAGCAGCGCTGGGCGGGGTGGGCACCCCCACACTGCTCACCCGCGCAGGTTGCCGGTGCAAAGGACATAGGTGCAGGGACCAAAACCCCCACCATGCTGACGCTGCGTGTACCACTCACGGAGCTGCTTAGGGGTGGGGACGTCGTGAGAACGCTGCTGCTGCTGCTGCTGGCGCTCACCACCCCCAGTGCTGCTCCGCTGCGAAGCGCCACTCCGACCACCTCCACCACCTCCACCTCCGCCGCCTCCACCTCCACCACCTCCGCCGCCTCCACCTCCACCACCACCGCCGCCCTCGCCAGTAACGCCGCCGCCACCGCCGCCTCCGCCTCCACTGCCGCCACTAGCACCTCCACCCCCTCCACCACCTCCACTGCCACCCCCACTCCCTCCGCCACCGCCACCTCCACCTCCACCGCCCCCGCTAGCTCCACCCGCGCCCTTGCCCCCCTTGCCCTTGCCAGGGCGGCGTCTCCCACTAGGGGCGGACGCCGCATCGACCGACTCAAGACCAACGAGGTCTGCCGCAGCGGCAGAGGCGACAGAGGGCAACAGGGGGGAAGGAGAACACCCCTCAAAGATGGGGGTGCGAGGGTCACCAAGAGAGGCCCCTACAGCGACTATGCTCTTCTCTGCCGCTAGGAGGGACTTCTCGAGGAGGTCTACAGTGAGAGTGGTGGGACAGACTGAGAGGTAGTGGTCCCTGAATACACGAAGGGAGTCAGGGAGACGAGTGACTATGAAATAGAGAGTGATGTACATGGGGGGGGGGGTTCTTGGCGCAGAAGTGAGCAGGAAGCGCAGTGCGGTAGCGAGTGTCACTAGTGCGGAGGTGCGTAATGAGGTCAGCGACTGTGGGAAAGGCAGCCAGGTCAGGGAAGAGGAAGGGTAGCATGAGGCGGCTTAGTGCAGCAGTGGCAGGGGAGGAGTAGCGCGCAACTACAGCGTCGTACAAGGTCTGAGCACTCTTGTACTGACTAAAGTGCGCGCGCACAGCGGTAGGCAGGTGGCGACGCACAGCAAGACGTGCAGCAGCATCGCGTGTGGCCCACTGGGAGCGAAGAGTGGGGTCAGCATCAGCAGCAGGGGCAGGGACAGCGCCAGAGGTGAGGTCAAAGAGAGAAAGACCGTCTACCCTATCGCACTATAAGAACAGCTGCAGGTCGTCGACCCAGACCTCAAAGTCAATGGCGCGACCCTCAGCGTCAAAAGCTAGGACACTAGGAGTAGCCATGACAGCAGTCGACGATCTCACCAGACAGGACGGGTCGGGCAGCTCAGCAGCACAGCAACACGGCAACACTGCTGCTCGGCTGGTCCAGCAGCAACAGCAGCTCCGCGGGACCAGCGGCTCGGCTCCTTAGGTGACTTGGGCGGCTCGGGCGGCGCAGGCGGCTCGAGCGGCTCGGGCATCTCGGGCGGCTCGGGCACTCAGCGACACAGGCGGCTCGGGCGGCTCGGCTCCTCAGCGGCACAGGCGGCTCGGGCGGCTCGGGTGGCGCAGGTGGCACGGGCGGCTCGGGCGGCTGGGTGTCACAGCAGCGTACGGGCGGCGTGGGGCCGGGACGGTGGCGTGCGGCCGGGACGGGTGGCGCACGGGCGGTGTGGGGCCGGGACGGCGGCGCACGGCTGGGACGGGTGGCGCACGGGCGGCGTGGGGCCGGGACAGCGGCGCGCGGCTGGGACGGGTGGTGCACGGGCGCCTGGGAGCGGGGCCGGGACAGGCGACGCACTGTCGGCTTGGGGCCGAGACGGCGGCGAGGGGCCAGGACGGGCAGCGCACGGGCGACGAGGGGCTGGGACGGCTGTGCGCGGCCGGGACGGGTGTCGCGCGTGTGGCGTGGGGCCGGGACGGGCGGCGCACTGGCGTCGACGGGCCGGAGCAGCGGCGCGCGGCCGAGATGGGCGGCGCAAAGGCGGCGTGGGGCCGGGACGGGCGGCGCACAGGCGTCTGGGGGCCGGGACGG